TTAATTGCCTATTTGCTCAATTTGCCTTAATTGCATTACATGAAGCATGTTAGGCTAGACTTATCTACTACTTAGTACGAAATCTAGCATTTGTAGAATACTTCTTGCGTTGCTGCCATGTGTTTTAATTTGGGACTACGGGACGGCATCCCGGGAGATCCCCTGTAAGTACTTATGATCTGGACTGAACTGTGGGATACCAAGAGATCCCCGGCACGTATATTGAGGATACTAAGAGATCCACAGGATACCAAGAGTTCCCTAGTATATTTTTGAGGATACCAAGAGATCCCCGGTTATCATCCTTGCTATGAGTGGTATTTCCTTGTAGTTTGCCTTTATCTCTGTTTCCGTTATTGCACTCTTATTATACTGTGTAGATCCTTATTATAGACTCTCAGTTTTACTGCTTATTTACCCTGTCATTTCATTATATATATACTTATCTCAGTAGGGTCCTGACCTTCCTCGTCACTACCCGACCGAGGTTAGGCTTGGCACTTACTGAGTACCGTTGTGGTGTACTCATGCCCTTTCTGCGCATGTTTTTCATGTGCAGATCCAGGTACTTCTGCACAGGCTTACCATTCTTGAGGCAGGGAGAGCTTTTGGAGACTTCGAGGTACATCTGCCGCGTCCGCAGACCGAAGAGTCTCTATCTTTATTCTATCTTGTAGTATTATCCCTTCTATCATACTGTTGATGTAGACATTTCCGGAGTTGGAGCATTTTTCTATATTTCTCTCAGCTTGTGTTCCCGTGAGTTTCCAGGTTTTGGGATAGTGATGTAGAAGTTTGAGATATTGTGCTGTATTTGCCGAGCGGCATTCTATATACCGTTCCTTTTAGTTATTTTGGCTTTTTGATTTATACTTCCACAAGTTTCGATTTGTTTTTCCGCACTTTTTAGGATTACCTAGTCGTAGAGACTAGGTGCCATCACGACAGTTCACGGAGGGCGAACTGGGATCGTGACATTTCTCCTATCTCTTAGCCTAAGTTCAGGACCTATTGTCCTTAACTTTTGAGCTTGTTAGTCTAAGTTGAGGACTTCAGGACCTATTGTCCTTAACTTTTGAACTTGTAAGTTCAGGACCTATTGTCCTTAACTTTTGGGTTTCTTAGCCTAAGTTCAGGACCTATTGTCCTTAACTTTTGAGCTTGTTAGTATAAGTTCAGGACTTCAGGACCTCTTGTCCTTAACTTTTGAACTTGTAACTGTAAGTTCAGGACCTATTGTCCTTAACTTTTGAGCTTGTTAGTCTAAGTTCAGGACCAAGTGTCCTTAACTTTTGAACTTGTAATTCTAAGTTCAGGACCAACTGTCTTTAACTTTTGAACTTGAAGCTCCAAACGTGCAGGCCAATAATGCAAGATGGAACATTATTCGGGAGAATATACACAATTCATCACCTGTCAATTTCATTAGCTGCAAACTGAGTAGAAAATGGAGTTATCGAGATCGAGGATAAAGAAGAAGAAAAACAGATCCAAAAAGTGTCTAAAATAATAAAAATTGCTGAAGTAACCACTAATTAAATTCCCTTCACTCTACTTTACCAGTACTACTTTCACCTTTTTCTTCTTCGTCTTTTTCTCCTTCATGTAATTCACGTAGCTTTAAAAAATGACTATCCCACACAATTTTTACTAAAAAAATGTCTAATTATGTGACAGCTCAATGTCCTTTTGAACCCTTTTTGAACTGCCAGCTTGGATGTGCTTAATAATTTAAAGAAAGAAAAAAAAAGAGATTTTTACACAATAAGTCACTTATTTAAAATTATTTGTTTAAATAACATCACTTTTGATTTATAATAAAAGTAGCAAATTCATTGACAAGTCTAACACATTAAAGGTTTAGACATTAAATGACTATCAAATTTAAAAATCAGTCATCTACAAATTGAGGGATCAATTTATACTTTCTCTCTCATCACCCCTAAGAACTTTTGTTTTTCTCTTTATATTCATCCATATCTCTTGCTTTCAATATTCTATCAAAGTTTTTACATGTCTCCCCCCACTCCTTATAGACACCACCGTCCTTTTTCCATAACAGTAGTTAGGTTCACCAAAATTATTACAAAAATTAAATTATAAGTGAGAAACATCAGAAGCTTTCTCGCAAAGCTTTTGGCAAGAAAAGAAGGCACTTGTATAAATTATGAATTATACCATACATGTTATATATACAATGTATTATTGGTATATTTCTATGTTTCTGAATACCATTTGGTGGTGACTTATTTTACCATACATGTTATATTCACAATATATTATTGAAATATTTGTGTGTATTTTTCAGAATTGGAAGATGTTATCGGTGTAAGTTTTTTAAATTTATACATGTTTTATACGGGTTATAAAGTGATTGTACCCTAGATACATATAGTGTATTTTTACATTGTAGGATTCGATATTTTAGATTTATATAACATGTGATTTGGATCTATATATATTTATTCCAATTCAAACATATACGATGTATACATAAGGTATAATTAGCACCTCATTGAGTTTTGAATATAAAAGACACAAAGCAAAACTAACAATGTAACTTTATATACCATATATATTTCTAGTATAATATATTCAAATATTATAATTTATACCAATAATATTTTAATACTATATACTTCATATACCAATAATATTTTAATACTATATACTTCATATAATAATTTTTTTAATATGCATATACCACTTATACATACGGTATGTAATAGTTATAATGTATAGACATCTTTATCCAAGCATAATTGGAAGAGAGAGAAATTAAAATCACATTCATCAATAAAACAAAATCATTCTTCAAAATAGAGATAAAAGATAAGGAAAAGTCATTTATGAATGGAGCGTGAAATCAGTTGAGCATTTTAAATACATAGCAATTTCCTAAAATTTAGGAATACGGGTAGGATAACTGTTACGGATTTTTGTTATGAATGTAAATATGTAACTGCTAGAAATGTTAATCAAATGCTACTGCTATGACATTGTAAAAAAATTTAAAATATCGGACAATTATGTTTTTTCCTCTTTAAGAAAAGGGAAAGAAATTGAAAATGACAAGAAACAACCAATGTTTGTATGGGCCTAGAGTATGGGCCAAAATTTCAGTCAGAAAGTTGCTTCCAGTTGGTTTCTTATGGGCTAAACATGGCCTCTCAAATGATAGGTTAGACCCATTGTTTGAAAGAGTCCAATTCAGTGCTATAAAGCTTTCTTTTCTGGCTGATGAGAATCTACTTTATATGTTTTCATTTTCTGGTGAAAAGAAATATCTTAATTTATAGGCCACAAAAACTTGCTAATAATAGACTAATTTGGATACCCTTTAGTGGGCATATTTGAGGGAGAAATTCAAAAATAGCCAGATTTACCACTGGTCGTCGAAAAATAACCAAGTTTCAAAAGTCATCGAAATTTAGCCACTTTAAATCTGAGCGAAAACACTGTTCAAAATCCGGAAAAATACGCCCGCAAATTTTACGGGAGTTCCAGCATAAGTATGCTGGAACTCCCGTAAGTATAAATGTCAGACTAATGTTGGAACTCCCGTAAAATCGATTTTTAAGTTTTTTTTTACAAAATCAGTAGGTTTTTATATAAATCTATATCCATACCGATAATTAGGGTAGGTTTTTTATTTTATAACAATAAACCGAAAAAATACCGAACCGTACCGAATAAATTTTATATGTGAAAAATATATTTATATAGTAAGTTTAAAATAATAAAGCATTAAATTTTTCTCTGGGCATTGGAATTATGAAAACTGTTACAAGCTAACAAGTACTTAAACTAAAAATACTAATTCTTAAAACCTATTATGCTACTTCTACTTAAACTAAGTTATTTCAAATATTTGTATTAGCAAGATACAAAGTATATATTCTAGCGATTATGATTAGCAAACTACAATGTATATGTTTCCTCTTTTTGAATATTTAATCTTCTATGGACTTTATTCTTGAGTCCCAACTTGGTTAATTTCTTTCCACTCGTGTGATTTATATTTTCTTTGCTTTACTTGGTTGCTTTTACGTTGTTGTAGAATAGTTGATGGATCTATACTCTAGCCATCTTTCATGTTTTTTTAATTCATCTCCCTTTAAATAGTAAAAATATTTAGAGAGTTTTGCTAAAGTCATAAAAGAACGTATGTTACTGCATTCTACTTTTACTGGTGAATTTTACATGACATTTAAAAAAATACTAAAAAATAACTGAACAGTACCGATACCGAAGAGAAACCGACATGATTGGGACGGTTTCAAAAAGTCTATTCTTGGTTATACATAATAGAATAACTGAAAATTTAGTATGGTATAAATTTTATAAAATAACTGACCGAACCATTGACACCCCTAGATACAACCAAGAAATTTAAAATATTAATATTAAAACTGTAAATATAATGTGTCAATATATTAGTTATAAAATAGCAAGTGGGCTTTAACAAATATGTACTCTTTATCTAAAGAGACAAACCAACATTCTTTCTTTTTTGGTAACTAACTTTTTATTAATCACTAGTAAACTTTACAAATTACCATAGCTAGCTAACACGGCTAAAACTATCATATTTACATGATGCTCTTACTCTTCCTATTTTTTTAAAATCTATATCTTTGAACTATATCAACTATTCTAGGAAGAGCTCGTACACAAGAAACACAAGCTATCTCTTTGGCTATCCTCTCCCATCCTGTACTTGTTTTCTCAAAAATTCTTCTGTTCCTCTCAATCCATATACTATGTACTACTTCAAAATATATCATCTTGAATAGTTGAGCTTCCTTTGATTTGCCTTTGGCTCTCTTGATCACCTCAAGCACATGTTGGTCCCAGGTAGCTGCTGCTATATTTTGATTATGTGTCCAGTGCATCAGCTTTTGCATCACTTTTTTTGTACAATCACACTCCATAAAGAGATGGTCTCTTGTTTCCTCTTCTCTCTGGCATAAACTGCATTTGCCTACTACCTGCATTCCTCATTTGTTCAACCTGTCAGCAGTTAGTAGCATATTCTGCATTTGCAACCACACAGTGAACTTAGCTTTTGGCCTTGTTGCATTCCCAAACATCAAACACTTCCATTGCATTCTTGGTTGATCACCTAGTAGCTGAAGGTATATATGTTTAATGAACCCTTTCTCCCTGCAGATATGTACATTGTTCTGTTCTAGTAGATGTTTGGCTTCTATTATTTTTCTCACCATCCAACTTGCTTGTTGTGGAACTTTCACTTGCTCCATCTGTTGTCCTTTTATATAGTATGCATGAATCCACCTTATCCACATCCTATTCTCTTTCTTTGCCAAATTCCGGTACAGTTTGATTATGGCTGCCTTGTTCCAGATTCTCATATTAATGAGGTTCCATCTTGCACTGCTTTTAGGACAGCAAACTCCTTCCCAACTGATGAGTGCTTTCTTTGTAATGACATTGTTACCTGTCCAAAGATAGCTTCTACAAAAACTTTTCACAGATTTCATCACCTTTGTTGGCAATATGAACAGTTGGGCCCAATAGGACTGGACTCCAAACAAAACACTACTTATCAATTGACTTCTTCCTGCATATGACAGTTTTTTGGCTGTCCATGAAGTGGTTCTTGCTACAATCTTCTCAATGAGGGGCTTCCATTGTATCATTGTTAGCTTCCTAGTTGACAGTGGAGCTCCCAGGTATTTGAAATTCCTCTTGTAAATCCCAGTGTTTGCAGTATCTGCTCTTGGTCTTGTTGTCCCACCCCTCCAAAATAAATGAAAATTTTCCCTATGTTTGCTTGCAATCCTGAGGCATCTGAGAATTGATTAAAACTTTGAAGAACATCAGTTACTGATTCAACATCTCCTCTAGAAAATATTAAAAGATCATCTGCAAAACATAAATAAGTTAGTTTTAATTTGGCACATCTGGGATGGTAATGATACTGCTTCCTCTCTGCCATTTCCTTTAAGGTTCGACTTAGGTACTCCATTGCAATTGCAAATAGAAATGGAGACATAGGATCCCCTTGTCTAAGTCCCTTCTCAACATTGAACGGATCAGTTGGCTCTCCATTCACCATAATAGTATAGTCCACTGTTTTAACACATTCCATCACCCAAGTTATAAATCTTTCAGGGAATCCTATCAACCTCATATTCTGTTCCAAATAGCTCCATTCTACTGAATCATAAGCCTTCTGTATGTCTATTTTAATCATGCACCTTGGTGATATATGCTTCCTTGTGTATCCCTTTACTAGTTCATGAGCCAATATAATATTATCACCTATTTTCCTGCCTGGGACAAAACCAACTTGTGCTTCACATATAATCCCCTCAATTACCTACTGCATTCTTGCTGCCAAGATCTTTGAAATCAGGTTGTATAACACTGTGCAGCGTGCTATTGGTCTATACTCTTTAATTGTTGCTGGATTATCTACCTTGGGTATCAAGGTGATGGCTGTACAATTAATAGATCTATATAATATTCCTGTTGAGAAGAAATGTTGTATTGTTGTAGTCACCTCACTGCCAATAATGTGCCATGCTATTTTGAAAAACACATCATTATATCCATCTATCCCTGGAGCCTTATCATCTCCTATTCCTTTTAGCCCCTCAAACACTTCCTGTTTAGTAATTTCTTTACATAGTAGCAGCCTTTGTTCTTGAGTCGGTAGTGGCCCTTTCTTCATTATTGTTCTATTTACTGCTGTAAGTCTTTTTGCTGTTGTGCCCATTAGACTCTTATAGAATCTAATTATCTCCTCTTTAACCTCAGTTGGTTTATTGATCTTCTTTCCATCCATAGCTATCAGTTCCTTTATTTGCTTTCTATGCTTCCTTTCTTTCATTATTGCTGAGAAATACTTAGTGTTTGCATCTCCCAGCTGTATCCATTTAGCCCTTGCCTTCTGCTTCAAAATACTCTCTTCAATCATTGACCACTTTTCTAATTTTTGTAGTGCATTTCTCTCTTGCTCCTGCATAGTATCAGTATAATTCTGTTGCATCTAGCTATGCACTCTTCTGATTTCATTCGTTGCTTCTTCCATTTTCTGTTCAGCATTTCTGAATTCCCTATTGTTCAATATCTTCAGTCTGGTTCTTAATGTTTTCAGTTTTCTCCATATTCTCCTCATGAGCCAAGGATCTTTAACTTGTTTCCAAGTTTCTTCTACTATTGATCAAATTCTTTGTGATCTGCCCAAACATTGAAGAACCTAAATGGACACTTAGTGTTATTCTGCTCCTCTCCCATGGTCAGCAACATTGGTGCATGGTCTGATATCCCTGGCAAATCATATTTCACTACTATATTACCCCATTTCATCTTCCATTCATAATTCCCAAATGCTCTATCAATTCTGCTTTGAATTCTATCTTCCACTCTTTGTTTGTTGGTCCATGTGTAGTAATCCTCTTTCCATATCAATTCATTTAGGTTAGTTGTGTGAATGCAATCAACAAAGTCTTGAATATCAGCTTTCTGTACTGGATTACCCTGGTCTCTATCTGCTGAACTCAGTATTGCATTAAAATCACCTATCACTGGCCAAGGTTTTGTAATACCTTGAGCTAATGTCTTCAAATCTTCCCATAACCCTTTCCTTTGTTCAATTGTATTGAAACCATATATGATAGTCACTAAGCAGTCAATTTGGTATGCACTTCCTGTAATTTCACAATGCATCATCTGAGCAGTCTCCATCAACTTAATTACCTGATAGTTGTTTGTGTCCCATAGTATCCATATCCTCTCATTTCTAGCAGATGAATAATTATACAAACTATTCTATCCCATGGCTATATTTCTAGTAATAATTCCAGCTTTATTCTCCTTGACCCTTGTTTCAACAATACCAGTTATTCCTATTTTTTTTTTCCAGGATTTTCTTCACTTCTTTCTGCTTATACCTTTTATTCAATCCCCTTATATTCCACACTAACCAATTCATATTGATCTCTTTGCCTTACCTCCTATATCAAGAGGTACAATGTGAGCACCATTCCCCTCTCTACTTAGTATTTGAAACCCATTCCTCAGTGGAACTGACCCAAGCACTGGAAAATTGATGTCATTAAACTCTAGACTTATCCTCTCGGCCTCCTGATTTTTGCTCATAACCTTTGGTGTTTGATCTTCATGTAATACTGGCATATTCATCTTTATCACCCCTGAACTTTGTCCTGCTTCCATTACCCTTATGGTCTCTGTTGTTGCTTGCTTAGTTCCTGCTCTGGCATAGGTTCTTCTTCTGCTTGTTGTGTCTTTCCTTTCTCTTTAGTCACCCATTGTTGCGTTATCTTCTTTGGCTTTCTCTTATCATTTATATTTGCACCATATTGCTTCTGTCCTCTCTCTTCTTGCTTGCAGTTATACCCAATGACTTGGCATGTTTCACAGAATTTTGGTTTCCAATCATAGTTAATTGGTTGCAAGAAGGTCCTCCCATTTGAATCTTCAACTATTATTTCATCCTTCAGAGGTTTTGTCACATCCACCTCTATTAGCATCCTAGCATAGGATACTCTCAATTGTTTAGCAGTACACTCATCAGCATACACAGGCGTGCCAATTGAACTTGCTATTCTACTTAGTGAATTCACACCCCAGCAGTTCAGTGGAAGTTTTGGGAATCTAATCCATAGAGGAATTTCAGTGGGGAATTCCTTCTCAAAATCAAAATCAGTTGTCCATTGTATAAGAATAATTGGTCTATTATTGATTGTGTATGGTCCAGCTAACAAAATTTCCTGCATATCCTCCATCGTCTTAAATTTGATGATGTAATACCCATCCTCATGCATATATAGATCTGGATCTGGAATTGTGTTCCAATTAGTTTCTATATACTTTTTCATTACATTATATCCTGGTAAATCACCCAGTACATATGCGATTAGAGCCCCTTTCCATTTTTTCGTTTCTCTATCAACCTCTTCCTTATCTAATTAAACAATAACTTGGCCATCAACCACTTGTGGTGGAATATAGGTTAGTTTCATACCATTTTCTGCTGCTCTGTTCTTCGCAAATAAGTTATCCCATGCTGGTTTCTCCTCTTCCTTTGCCTCTTCCTTGCTCTCTTCAGCTAGTGTTACTGTTCCATTGGTTTGCGGCTGTGAGTTGACCTCAATAGCTTTAGTTGCTTCCCCACCTAGATCTCGTTCCTTCAAAGCTACATCTGAGCTCAATTGGGACTCGTGGGTACCGGCTGAAGCTTCTACTTGAGTCTTAGCTGCAGATCCCTTGTTTGCATGTGTTGTTCTTATCACACCTTCCTCATTTTCCTTTGAATCTTCATTGTTTCCAGCTGTAATTTCAAAATTGTTGATCGGTATCTTCCGTGGTCGGTCTCGTCCTCTTCCTTGGCCACCACTCCTGCCTCTCGCCCCTGCCATTGACACACCGGCGTAGGTTAGACTAACTTACGCCGAGAGCATTGAGAGAGAGCGCCTTACAAGCAATTTTTTTAATTTTATAATTTCATCAACCAACATTCTTTCCTTATTACTAGTATTCTTACGAAATTAAATTTTACTTCTCCTGCTAATATGAGAACTAATTAAAATCATATATTTGACGAAAATTTAAGGACATGCTATTACCTTTCCTTACCTTTATATCTTTGTTTTATCCCTCAATGAATTTCGACTATGACTAATGTTGCACCAACTAAATAAGCATTGAGAAAAAAGTAACTTGAAAATAAAAAACAATGTGCACATTGAATTAAACTCGACGAATTGTGTTACAGAACTATTATCGAACCAAAAGAAACTTGTTCTCTTTGCGTCCCAAGATATTTAGAAAAAAGAACTTTGTTCCCAAAAAGGAAATATTATTGCAATATCTACAACTTTTTACTTCTGTTTTGTTACTTGCGATGTGAAGAGAATACTTTGCCTGATAAAATACTTACAACCAGGAAATGTAATCTGGTAATTTTGTCATGAAAAGTTTTCTATCTATCTGATTCTACAATTAATACCACATAACAAGCATTTAATTTGGTACTTATCACCATTAAAATTAATTAAAGAACTAGTAATCTAAATAATTAACAATTTATTAAACCTTTAAGACAATTAAAATGCACTTTGTAAATCTCCACCCACTACTTTGCTTTTGGTGGGAAAAAAAAAGAGAAACAACTTTGTGGATTTTGTACAAAACTCTATATTGAGATTTTCATTGCTTTCCACTAAAAAGGGAAATCTCCTTAAATGAAAGTTTCTGTATGAAAAACTATGCAATTCATCTCAACTAAAAAGGAAGTTCTTCTTAAAAGAAAGTTTCTGTATGAGAAATTATACAATTCGTCATCAATGATTTTGTCTTGTTGACATTATTACCGGTCTACTCACATTAATCATCAATTACGTCATTTTTTTTACTTAATACGAAAACAATTTCTTTTTTACTGGGAAGCAATTTACAAAAAAATAATATGGAAAAATAGTCTCATTTTGTCCGAGAGAGAGAAAAGGAATAGTTTTAGGCTTCAACTATTAAAAGAAGAAGAAAAAAATGAAATCTCGCTTTACTCAGTCATGAATTTACTTACTACAACTTTAATCTTTTTTCGAAGTATGTGGATATATGTTATCTGAACTTGTTACTAAATAATTTTTCTCTTTTACTTGCAATTAGATGCAATTTGCATACTTCCTCATTCGAACTCAACAAGGTTTTTGAAATTCTTGTTTCTTTTTTCAATACTTTCATAATTTTAGAACTATTCTAGTAAGCTTTCAAAATTATTCTTTAAAGACATCATTTTATTTTTATTTTTATTTCTGGGACAAGGCATGAGCTTGTTCACAAGAATCCCTTTAATATTTATGATTGACATGAAAATCACGGTCACATGTACAACTTTGTAACTCATTTTAATCTACCATATATATACAAACAAGACTTTTTTTTTTATGTACATGAATGAATGTGTTCTCATCATTTTTCTCCGCCCATACGTCCTTTTACAATTGATAATTTTTTAATACTCCCTCCGTTCACTTTTACTTGTGCACTATTGATTTTTCACGCCCTTAAGAAATAATAAATAAAGTGTATAAATTACCATGATACCCATATTACTTGGTGTATAGTCTTAATGGATTTGGAATGAATAATTAATGCTAAAGGCAAGACAGAAAAAATAAATTAATTTTCTTTTGATATGTGAAAGTGGATAAGTAAAAATAAAAATTTATTTTTAGAATAGTGAATAAGTAAAGTGAACGGAGGGCGTACATAATTTCCTTGACAGAATTGAAGCTCTTTCCCCCAATATTTTCGAAGCTAGTAAAAATTTTGGTAAGTGAATTCTTTCTAAGGGATTTTCTTTAAAACTCATTCATTAAGCAAATCACCTTAAAATGTATTGGGGAGATTTGCAGTCATACTCTATATTTATGCCACCTTTTAACTTGTACCCTATTTTTAAAAACTATTGATTTCGTAGCCGACTAACAAAAAATCCGTAATAATATGACCATTATACCCCTTCCAAAAATAAAAAATCCCTTTTTTCATATGCTGTGGATAGCCAGATATATTCCACGGAAACAAAAGTTCTGTCCAGCGGAATCCGCCACTCTACTATCCCTCAAAGTTATATCCGCCCTCAATCCGATAGGCCACTCCTTTCTCGAAGTCGTCTGATTGTGAAAATGTTCCAGTAATTGACATGGGCTGTGGAGATAGAAACCTTTTAGTTCATCAATTTGGTATTTAAGAAGTATACCAAATTGGAGGAATCTGACCAAGAGGATTACATAAGTTAGTGAGCACCTGTATTTCCCATCTAATACTTTCCTAAAAGTTCGAATCATATGGAAAGTCAGTTAAAACTTCAACTCTAAGAAGGCTGAAGTTCGCCAGTTACAAACAAAAACTTCAGCTCTAGAGCTGAAGTTCGCTAGTTACAAACAAAAACTTCAGCTCTAGAGCTGAAGTTCACCAGTTACAAAAATAAAAACTTCAGCTATAGAGCTGAAGTACGCCAGTTACAAAACAAAAACTTCAGCTCTTCACCAGTTACAAAAACAAAATCGCCAGTTACAAAACAAAAACTTCAGCTCTAGAGCTGAAGTTCACCAGTTACAAAAACAAAAACTTCAGCACCTAAAGCTGAAGTTCACCAGTTACAAAATAAAAACTTCAGCTCTAGAGCTGAAGTTCGCCAGTTACAAAACAAAAACTTCAGCACTAGAGCTGAAGTTCGCCAGTTACAAACAAAAACTTCAGCTCTAGAGCTGAAGTTCGCCAGTTACAAAACAAAAACTTCAGCTCCTAAAGCTGAAGTTCACCAGTTACAAAACGGCTCGCAGTATATTTCGACACCGTGGGAACATGCAATCACAGGTATAATCAATCATGAAAAAGATGAAGATTCTCTTTCCAGTGAATTCTTCCATGCATGTTCACTATAAAGAAGTAATGGCAAAGGCTTTTTAAGATCATCCTTCTGTAGTGCCAGAAGAAAAGAAAATTTTGAAAGTGAATTTATTGGTGATGAAATCAACTTTTCCTCCCATTTTTGGTTCTGAAAAGTCCTAAAAAGTGCTTAACGACTTTGCATTGTTCCTTGAAATAATATGGGTGTACTGTTAGCTTCCTTTGAGAAAATTTCAGTTTTAACATAGAGGACCAGTGTATACTTGGAGAGAAAATAGTCTTTTAATAAAGAAGGGCAAAATAGTCTTTTTAAAAGGCTTTTAACAAAAAAACGGGTATGGGTGCAAACAGAAAAACAAAGAGGCTACAGGTTAAAAAGGGCGCCGCAATTTACTAAAATGTATTACTACTATAAATCGAACCAAACATCACTAAAAGAAAAAGAAAAAAAAAAGGACTGCTGGAAAAAAAAATGGGACTAGAGTATTTAAAATGGACGTTTCTTGAGAAAAAAATTCCCAATAACAACTTCCATTTTTTGCAAAAAGAAAAGATTTTTTGTTTTATTTTAACAAATTCATCGTTATTTCCAGATATTTAAATCCCCATTCCAAAACAAACGTTCCCTCCCCCTTTTTCCCAAGGCCCAAACCATCCACCGGCACTTTCTCTAAATAGGCAAAAGTCACTCTCCTTTCTACGGTGTATCTGTCTCAAAATTAAGGCTGCGATTAATATTAGGAACCTTAATATTAGCAATTTAATTTGTTCCTCAAACTCCCTCCACTTGTCACAAATCTTTACTAAGAAAGATCACCCTCCACCCTGTCTTAGGGGGTGGGGAGGGGGGGGTGGGTAATGGTGTTGTGAAAAGTTTCAAGAATGATAAGGTAGTAGAATTTATAATTTGGGATAAAGGGGTCTTTAATAGAATCTTTTCTTGAATTTTTGGACAAACATGGATGATAATTAATTACTAGTAACAAACACACATTTGTTGAGGTTGTTTTTCTCTTTTGACTTTAAACATGGCTCTAGTAATGCAGTATCGGTCCACATTGGTATTCTTACGTTGGATTTTGTCCTCTATTCAATTCCTCTTCTTATAATCTTCCCTGGACTCTCTGTTCCATGTCTGCTGATGATCAAGAATCTTAGAATATTTTGTGAGCTCCTTGTTTCTTCTATTCTTTTTTATTTTTCGTCTGGATTTTCCCTGTTTTGAAGGTGAGCTTGGCATAATGGCTAAAGTTGACTCCACGTCGGGTTCAAGCCGTTGAAACAGCCTCTTGCATAATTGCAGGATAAGGCTGCGTATAATAGACCTTTGTGGTCCAGCCTTTCCCCGGAACCCGCCCATAGCGGGAGCTTAGTGCACTGGGCTAGCCTTTTTATTTTCCCCGTTTTATGATTTGATCATAGTTTTTTTCTTTTTTCTTGATTATGATGCAGAGAAGGAGAAAGCTATAAGTTTTCGCGCTTGTGTAGAGCAATTGTTTTTGCTTTTGTGTTTTATAGCCTTTTCTGGATAAAGGTGGTGGCCGGACCAACTTGCATGCAACTCGACTATTTTATTGGGTACCTCCTACATCCCACTCGTCTACGAAAAAAATCATCTATACCCTTTGTCTTTGTTTCTTAGGGCCCTTTTGTTCTTAGCCTGTAATCTGTAAATTTTTTTAGTTGTGGGGTGCGGGGGGTGGGGTGGGGGTTCTTTTCCAGGTGTGATGGGGTAGGGGGTTGTTTTTGGTTTTTGTAATTTTGGAGTATAAGCTTACTGGATATGGTTTTTTCACAGGGCATGTTTGTAAATTAAAGTACATCTTATGTGGTGCTTATAATCAGTTAGTTTCATTTAATCTATTTAGCATTGCTTATTGGAGTACAAATCTTAATTTCCTTGTGTTTGTTCATATGAAATCAGGAATTGTTGAAGGTTTGTTTTGGGTAAACAAGAAACTAATATTATTACTGCTAAAGTTTACTACAGTACATAGCTTGATTTGTCTAGGACACATAATACCTAGTCAATCACTTTCATAATTAGATGATAAAGCAAGAAAAAGGGTACATCATGGAACATTAAGCTTTCATAAACTTCCAAATTACTTCCATGCTTTGCTAGTCATCCGCAACCTTGTTGCCTTCCGTTAGTATATGCTTTAAATCCGAACTTCCTGCTTCGAGCATTAACCACCTGCAATCTATTTGAATTCTTGGTTTTGGGATTAGTCATATTTTCCTTGATGCAAGACCAAGGAAACATAAGAGGAAAGAGCAAAATCTTCTTCTGTTACTTTGTGATTTGATATGATTTGGATAATTTGTAACTGCTAAGAGAATCACTATGGATGCAGTACATACCTCAGAGAAAAAAGCTGTAGTTTCTGCACAGAAGAATCTCTCTTCCTCAGTTTCTGCTCAAGGTGACATAAGCTGTATTCCAAAGAAGTTGTGTATGACTTGTTCATTTTTTCTTCTGATTCTGATGGATTATCTTCTCGAAAATACTCGTTGTAGACCTCACTTTGTTTGAGATGGAAAATGAGAAACATGATGATTCTTCTCCTAGAGGAATTATTGAAGCGTGCATCAGAAACCAGGAGAATGGCCCCGATTCTCCTAAAGCTAAACCCTCAGGTTCTCACTCCTGCCTGTCAAATCCACGGATGCCCTCTCGATGGCACAAGTTCTTCAAAATGTGGAAGAGAAGCTCCATCAAGAGACTACCTACCTTTCCACCTTTAGCCGTTCCGAGGATATCGAGAAGGAAAAGCAGAAGTGTGAGGGAGAATGTAGCAACAGGTTTCTGTCACTTCAAATCCTCCTGGAAGAACTTCAGCCTATCTGACCTGAAAAATGCTACCAATAATTTCAGCGAAGGTTTGTAATCTGGTTTAACATCTCTCTTTTTTTGCATTCAGGCTAATACATTTCTATATGATTAATACTCTTTCTTGCATAAATGTGTATCCTAGAGTTGATCTCCTTGTTTGACAGAAAACTTGATTGGCAAAGGAGGGTATGCTGAAGTTTATAAGGGTTGTTTGCCTGATGGTCAGCTTGTCGCGGTTAAGCGCCTCAATAAAGGTACAGCAGAGGAGCAGGAAACAAGCTTCCTATGTGAGATTGGTACTATAGCACATGTAGACCATCCTAATACCGCAAGGATGGTTGGTTACGGAGTGGAAGGAGGGACATACCTTGTCCTTGAGTTATCTTCTCAAGGGAGCTTAGGATCATTTCTTCGTGGTCTGTCTCAAAATTTCTCATTACAAGACTAAATTTCTATTCTTGTAATGGACGAACTTCCCTTTTCTGCTTTAACACAAGGTACTTGCCTGTTTTTTGTCTTTTCAGGCTCAAGGGATAAACTAGATTGGGCTGCAAGGTACAAAATAATTTTTGGTATAGCAAATGGCCTACTTTACCTTCACGAGAATTGCCAAAGGCGGATTATACACAGAGATATTAAAGCTGATAATATTCTACTTACGGAGGATTTTGTGCCTCAGGTACTATACTTGCATTTAAGATTGACAATTAAGGGAAGAAAAGATTATATCCAACATAAATGTTGAGATCATCTGTGTTACATAAGTAGTTTCCATAGTTGCTCTGCATATATATGTTTTTTTATATTAGCCTGAATACTGTGAAGAGAGATGTTAAAATAGATTACGTACCTTCGCTAAAATTACTGGTAGCATTCTTCAGGTCAGTTAGGTGAAGTTCTTCCACGATTATTTGAATGGATAGAAACCTATTGGTACATTTTCCCTCACTTCTGCTTTCCCTGCTTTCCCTTCTTGATATCCCGGGAACAGCTAAAAGTGGGAAGGAAGCTAGTCTCTAGAAGGAACCGCTTCAACATTTTGAAGAACTTATGCCAGGGATAGGGAATAGTGAATTCGACAAGCAGATTTGAGAACCAGAGGGTTAGCTTTAGGTGAATTAGAGTCATTACTCAGCTTCTTATGCATGCTCCAATAACTCCTCTTGGAAGAATATATTCTCTGGTTGTGTATGGTCAAAAGCACTTAACTTTAAGACTGACAATTAAGTGCTACACAGTAAATTTCTTAACTTTGTCGGTTAGGAGACCTTGGCTCACAAAGGGTTGGATGTGATTGTTGGTTTGTGGTGGATTTGGTTAATGATTTATTGGTGGTGGGCTTTGATGATAACTTCTTCTGAGAAAGCTAGTATCAGGATGGGGAAAGGTATATAGACAGGTGCAAAGATGGCAATAAGTGAAATTTAGTGGCAAGCCTGTTTGTTGTCACAATAAGTGGTGTAGTAGTGAGGAACGGGATATAAAGAGGAGCAAAGAGAGAATGAGGTAGAAAATGGATGAGTACATTTTATGTGTGATATATCTTATGTACTGCTGACGTTCAAAAACGCGTTCCAAAACTATTTTCTCGAAGAACGATAAGCTTTCATAAAAGAGGCTCTATAGATAACAGAACTGGATACTTAAGAAGAAATATGATTCGGAATACTAGAGAATGTGTGGCTTTTTATTAGTTATTGAAAAGTTTCAAGGTTGCTCACCTACTGTAGATCTTGGATTGTGGCAAAGGAGGCTTGCCTCACTACTGATAACCTTCAGAAAAGAGGGTTACCCTTATGCCGCAGATGCTATGGCAGTTACTTTTCAACTTTGCCAGAATCAAATGCCCAATGTCTGGGAATACATGGAATTTTTTGAGTTGTTGGTATAGGCAAAGAGTTGGAAGAAAGTAAGAAAAGAACTCAAGATGTTTTGAAGACAAGCAAAAGTCAGTCAAGAGGATTAAGATTGTATCTTGTTATGTCACTTCTCCTGTGGAATATGCAAATGAGGTAGAAACATTACTTGAATTTATAGAGTCCCTCTAAGTTTAGAAGAGGGCTACACTTTTGGATTTTTTCTCACATGTATAACGTTCATGTGATATCACATGTATAACGTTCAAATGATACCTCACGTGTATAACGTTCAAATGATACCTCACGTGTAGAACGTTCATGTGATACCTCACATGTATAACGTTCAAATGATATCTCACATGTATAATCAATCTTTTATGACTGTAATTATTACCGGCTAAGAAAGAAACAAATTCATTTGATATCTCATATGTGTAATCTATCCTTTATGAATATAATTATTACCGGTTAAGGAGAAAAAAAACAAATTCATGTGATATCTCACATGTATAACGTTCAAGTGTAGATAATATTCCAGCACTACTTTTATGTCGTTTATGAATCTAATTATTACTCTTTGAGAAAAGACGAACTCATGTGATATCTCACATGTATAACGTTCAAAACACATATTTCAAAAGCATTATTTTGAATAAATTTGAATAAAAGACACACTTTCATAAAAGAGATTCCTTTGGTAGAGATTAGCAGGACAAATAGAGAGGTAGTGCATGAGCGGGAACAGGGAAATCGATAAAATCAAAGATAGCATGAGTTAAAAATGGATTAACATTCAAAACACATGAGACGCGACAAAGAGAGGTAGTGCATTCGTGGGAAAGGGAAATAAAAAAGTACAAAGATAGCAAGGAACTAAAAATATATGAGCACAAACTTATGTGAGGCACATTGTGTATAACATTCAAATCACGTGCTTCGAAAGCATCCTTTTGAACGAAAAATAGTTTTCATAAAAGAGATTCTTTTAATAGAGATTAGCATGAGAGAGGTAGTATATTAGCGGGAAAAAGGAAATAAAGAAGAACAAATATAGCAAGAGTCGGGGGCGCACACAGGAATTTTTCATAAGCGGTGTCGATATTTTAAAGAAGTGAGCAAATGAACAAATAATTGAAATCAACAAATTCTCCTTTTTTAGAATGTATTCATAATAACCTATAATACACTTATCTTAGACATTTTTTGTGAGCATATGGCACCTTTGCAATTGGCTTAAAGGTTTAGTTGATACTTTTTCTAAAAGAGGTCAAGAGTTTGATTCCTTCTGACTCGTATCTTTTCTAAATGATAAATTTAAAGTTCCAGAAATTAAGAGGCAGTGTTGTCAAAGGCGCGCTTAAAGCGCGCTTAAGCTCTGAAGCGAGGCTCAAAACACGTTGAGCGCTTCGCCTCGCTTTGTGGGCGCTTTAGTGTCGCATCAAAGCTCTAACGCATACTTTTCTCTCCCAATGAGTGTAATCCTGAAAAGGCGACCTTAAACAACTGATATTTCACTTTATCATGATTTTTTTTTTTCAATTTGTTTATCCATATATTTGTTATTCATGCTTATAATGATTAGTCTTGGACTACTATGCATATTTTTACTTTTTCTCCCGTTGCGCCTTTTTTCATTAAAGCTCACGCTTTATTTGCTCTTAAAGCTCTAACGGACCTTAGAGCTTTTTTGCGGTTTTCGCCTTTGATAACACTCTTAAGAGGGTATCACGACTCGATCTCGCTACCTGCATTAAGGATTTGACGCACTCAACCACTACGCTAAGCCGTACTAGTAGTCAAGCGGTGTCAATTTCTTTTTATTTAACTGTTTTATATTTTTTTTTGCATATATAGATATTATTTAGTAAAACTTCTTGACCAAGCGCTGTCGGACTAAGGTAGGTACACCCTATCAAGAGTAATTAAATGGATGGATACAAACTCATGTAAGATATATCGGTACAAAACACGTTTTTCAAAAGCATGAAATACATGCTTTTTATATAAGAGAGGTAATGTATTAGTGGGAAAATGGAAATAAAAGGACAAAGATAGCAAGAGTTAAAAAAGGGATGGGTACACATTCGTGTGAGATGCATTGTGTATAACGTTCAAAACACATGTTTCAAAAGCATCCTTTTGAATGAAAGACTAGCTTTAATAAAAGAGATTTCGTTAGTAATTAAAGCATAGAGTTAGATGACTGTTCTGGCAAGGTTTTAGAACATAGTTTCGAAACTAGTGCTGCCCAATTTGGTTGTTTTGTTGATAAGGCTTATTTACAAGCTAAAGCAAAATGCTGCTGTTTTTGCAGTGATGTCAAAAGTGAGACGTGTAGATACACGCCCAAAGGTCTTCTGTGGCTATAAGTTTAATGCGCAATTGTAACACAAGCTTTACTGAAGTAAGGGAAACATGAAGAGGGGGGGGGGTGGGGGGGGTATGAGCAAATGAACTGTAGAAAACTGCAATCAAGCAAAATATAAAAAGTAAAATCATGTCAGCCAAGTCCAAAAGTCAGTTTAAATTTCTTTCGATGCAAAGATACAGTTGTAAGTTTATACTTCAAATTTAATGACTAGTTCTAAACTTTTAATTACTAAATTTCAAATTTTCTCTCCTTGATTGCCAAGATATAATGTCTAATCGTCGTTTCAACAACTATTATATCGGTTTGCCAGCTTCATTTTGTATAGTGCCATGGACAAGACCTATGGGTGTTGACGTGCATGCCTTAAGACCTGGTTGTTTGCCCCGAACCGCTGTTTAAGGGATGCGAAATACCTATTGCGCCACACTAAATTTCAGGGCTTAAGCTGCTGTGATGACGTTCAGTGTTTGTGAAAATTTTGGTTGTCAGCATTTACTAGTTTCGCAGTCACACTTGGAACTCCTTGACACAATGATAGCCTCTAGAAACCGATGTGTGTGTCTGTGTATAATAGGTAGCCTATCTGAAAATATTTCTAAGAAAAAAAAAAGTTAAAAACAAAGTTTGATGAGGATTGTTATTCTGTAAGTCAGTGCCTTCTGAGTGTAAGAGTGTTTGTCTATTAAGGTCATTCATTTGACTAATAATTGACATGAAAATATACTTTATTCCAGATGCACGCATGTGAGAGATCTTTGAAATTAGTTTATTCATTGTTTGTGATTTGAATTATTTATATATATTTTAAGACAAGTTTTCCTAATTGAGAGGTTTTTTCATGTATGTAGTTAAAATAAGGTAATGCGCTTGTCCTGTAATGTAAAGTACTTGAGATGTACCTCCACCAGAAAGCAGTTCAAAACTAAATGGAATTTCTATTATTTACATGAGAAGAAAATTATTGAGTGGTATGGATGATTGTTGAATTTCCTTTCGTATACGCTAGACAATGGAAGGAAGTCAAGTCACTAGTAGTTTAACATTTCATGTATAGTATATCATATGATGTTTTGGCTCCAAGATAATAGTAAAGTTAAACATGCGTTTGTTTTCTATGAAGTAAAGCCCCAGGTTGTCCTGGTAATCAAATGTTACTCTTCGGACTATGAGAGTGCGATCATAGACATGTACTGATGATCAGAATTCCGCATTCTCCATTCTGTTTTTTAGAAAGACAAGATATTGAAGAACTTCAAATATGCCTTTTTATGCTTAGCAGCTAAGAGGATATTCATGGATGGAAGTGCTTCGCTGATGAAAATTTGAAAAAATTTCATGTCATCATATTTTGCGAGATCTTCTTTATAATGTAGTAGCTTACTATCTAGTGTAGGTGCAGAGGTACTTTTCCTTGACATAATCATTTTAATGCATGAAGATGATTATAGAAATTTATTAATTAATTTACAGGTGTAAGTTAATATACCGTCCGAAGCAATCTTTTTTAGGTCGGTTAAGTTGTCCTCCTTGATACAGTCCCATTTTCTAGCTTGGCATTTCTAAGCGTGGAATTTTTATAGTGTTTGTTAGTGGTTTGCGACATCCTTTGTGAATCTAGTGTTTATCCACTTCTCTAAGAACACAGATCTTCGTTACTGTTAGGATATAATATTCATATTTGTATCATATCATTTCGTGTTCCGAGATATCTGATCAAAGTTGTATTACTGTATGGCATCCTATTCCTGGAAAAATGTGTATATGACTAAATGACATGACAAAGATGTATCAGAAGCATATCATACGTCACACTACCTAATGTAATAATGCATGAAGGAATTTACATGAGAATATGTAACACATGGACGATCTTTATATTTCAGAATGTATGCTGGAAATTCTGAGAGATATAAATTTCATTTGTCCAAGAAGAAGTCACCCTTCCATCTTCTGTATTTAGTTTTATGTATTAAGCACAGTTAACGCATAAACCAGTCGAATAACTGAAATTGCACTGGTGGGTTAAGTTTGAATGGTCCAATAGTCATGACAAAGAGAAATTACTGGTGAAGACGTGCTACTTCTCATTTTAGTCAGTTAAAGTATTTTTTGAGTTCCATGCAATTTAGTAGACACTATGACTCAAGTGTTGGTTGTTTGCTGTAATTTACCCTTGATTATTGCCTATTGTAAGCATGTGGACATACACTAACTATGGTCAGCAAATTGTGGATACAGATTTGTGACTTTGGCCTTGCAAAGTGGCTTCCCAAAGAGTGGACACATCATAATGTGGGCAAGTTTGAAGGCACATTTGGGTCTGTCGGTCACTGAAATCTGAATTGAAAGCTTCAAAAATGTCTCTATTTAATCTACTTTGCAAGGAGATCTAATGCATTCTTCTTGATATTGTCAGTTATTTTGCTCCGGAGTATTTTATGCATGGCATTGTGGATGAGAAAACCGATGTATTTTCTTTTGGTGTGCTGCTATTGGAGATAATAACTGGAAGACGAGCATTAGATGATTCACAGCAGAGCCTTGTGCTTTGGGTACTTTCTTGTGTCAAGTCTTCAATCATATTCTTTATTATCTAGTTCAGGAATACATCCTTACCATACGAGCATACACGTATTCAACTGTAGGCAAAGCCTCTGCTCGATAAGCACGACGTGAAAGGACTAATTGATCCTGTTCTCGGTGATAAGTACAATCCAAAAGAGATGCAGCATGTGATTCTAACGGCTGGCTTATGTGTAGAGCAGAACCCACTTATGCGGCCTCGAATGAATCAGGCAAGTAGTTATTTTCTATCACCCTGATTTCCTGTAGTTTTGCAATTCAAGTTACATTTGTATTACAGAGGTGCCTGTCCTGCTGCTACTATATTATTCCATCTTTTTCCATGGGACCAGGGACTCGCTAACTTTTGCTAAGTTTACTAGATTAATTCGTATAACTTATAACTCTATAGCTAGTAAGAGATAGCATTCAATCATCTACTCTTTTCTTGTTGATATTTGAAAGTATAAATTAGTCTTTAGAGGTACAAGAAATAGAGGTTACAATTTGCAATTGTAGAGCCATAAGGAGGGTAAAGCTATGAAATCCATTTGATTATCTAACCCGTAAAACAAGAGTTAAGAAGAGAAAACTCCAATATATCAAGTGCTTTTTGCTTCTTGATTTTATGTAGTAAAAGAAAAGAAAATGCTGTAGTCTGCATCTTAGGTGAAAATAAGTAACCTGCTGACATCCTTACACTGCTCGCCTTTATGATCTTGGTAGAGACCTACATAGGTTTCTGATTGAAAGGCATCCTTACACTGGTCGCCTCCACCAACATCTATATTAAATATATATACGTTCGTTTTTTATAATTCTTTAAATCTATTTTACCTTTCCAGCAGCACCTCTTTCAGTGTTTATCTTTGGTTTTCTTCCTCATTCCACCTAATTTTGATTTGTCTTTTAGAGAAGAACAATGGCTGAAATTGTTGGAGCAGCTAGTACTTCTGTGCGACTAATCGTCCTTGCATTAACCAAGAGGAAACTTGTCCAGATCAGTAACAATGATCCTTTACTTATTGCAGGTTATGGTCCTGCTGAGAACTGATGGCAGCTACAATAAGAAATGCCTGCGAAGGACATATTCAGAAGAACTCATGGATGCAGCCGAGTACAACTCGACAAAATGCTTGCATGATCTTAAACAGCTTAAGCTAAGAAATTCAGTTTCTGAAGACAACATAAAGACCCCTTAGCAGCTAAGCTAGAATTGGTAATCATTTTGTCACATAGTTTAGTCACAGCTTATAGGAAAATTAAATATTTTGGGTGTGTTTTTTACCCTCATATGTACTTTCAGATAATCTTCCCTGTTTTGCATGGAATTTGAGAAAAAGGTAGAAAGGTCCTCACTCATTCAAATGCCATGGGAAACATAGTGAACTGAGTAAACTCAGTCCATGTATATTATATATATATTAGACATATGGAAACTATGTTTGTAAGTTAAATGGTTCAAAGTGCTTTTTTTTTTTTTAATTTAAACAATAGTGTTTGGGCTAACTTGCGCACACTTCGACTATTCCACTAGATATCTGTAACCTCCCATTAGCGCATAGAAACTGAAAGAGCTTAACTTTTCATTTCGATTTCTTTGTTTTCTAGTTTTCTTGTTTTTCGACAGGATAGAAAAATAGGAATAGGGAGCCACAAAAAAGTACATTCTCTTTTTTGTTGAAAATCTCCTTCCAGAGATGATTGCTGAATAGCAAAATAAGTAATTTCTTTGTAGATGGAGTGCAAAAGGGTAAAGATCGATTTAGCCCGCTGCCCAAACTATTCATATTAGGCAGCTGCAAAAGTGTATAAAATTTGTATATTTTTTGTAATTGTCTTGCCCATATTACCACCCTGAAATATGAAGCCTTGTCCAGTCAAACGTACTGTCATATTTATTGTTTACTTTTTTCAGCCATATACATAGTTTACACATTGAATATACAAAATTACACATATATAATATATAAATTTTGCATATATTATAGCTCCATCGGCCATTTTTAAATTAAGCATTAGCTGGGCGGGTATTTAAGTTAATTCTTCAATTTTGAACCAATATCTTAGGCCCGAGAAGAACTGTAATCGAAACAATAGCACGGGCTAGCAAGTTTTCGGACTGGTCATTCAAAAATAGCCAGCGTTTGCAAAGTCATTGAAAACGAGTCACTATTTTGCTGCAATACGGAAAGTTCCAGCATAATATACTGGGTATCGGTGCACCTATGTATGAACTTTCAGCATATTATGCTGGAGCTCCAACACGCGGAAAGTTCCAGCATAATATACTGGAGATTGGAGCACATGTATATGAACTTCCAGCATATTATGCTGGACCGATATATTATACTATATTATACTGGAACTCCAATATATTATGCTGGAGTATTTTCCAGATTTTGAACAGTGTTTTCGTTCAGATTTATCTTTACATGAAAAGTGGCTAAATTTCGATTACTTTTGAAACTGTGGCTATTTTTGAATGACCACTTGTAAATCTAGCTATTTTTGAATTTCTTCCCGTCAAACTCCTATGAAGAATTAACCTAATAGCCTCCTATCCAATCGCATAAACTAAAAAATAGTCGACAGATGTATAATTTATGCATACACAATGAACCCAGTTAGCTATTTGTGTAAAGAACAGATATGCTAGAAGCCCATATTATATTAAAAACGTACCAAAAGAGAAATATATATTTTTAGCCGATCCCAGAATTAATAGCCGAAAAATATATATCATGTATGTGTGTGTGTATGATATACAAAAAATATACATATTTTATATACTTTTCGGCTAGCGAATGCAACTAGTTTCGTCAAAAGGCCAATTTTTGGATTTTGCCCAATAAAAGTGTAGCATTAGGATATTTCATAGCTTATTCATTCCTCTCAAATTAATTGTCAAAAAAGCAAAACTAATTGTCGCTTTCCTTTTTGGTAATGATTTTGAAAAATATTAGTACTTTTTAAAGCTCAAAGAAATAATGAACGGATGTTTGAATTCAACTATGACCAAGGGATTATTTCTTACCCTTTTTTTTTTTTTTTTTGAGTTAACTAGATACCAGATGATTGTTCCTCTTTGTTTATGTATTTCGTTTTTGTTATTTTTTCCTTTCTAGATTCTGCTTATCTGCATCCTGAATAATAGTGTGAAATTTTCAAGAATTTATGGCAAACAAGTATGTAAAATTAGTTGAACAGTGACACCAACGAATCACTACACTCTTTGTTGTTTTTAATTTTGTTTCATATGTGCGTATTAAATTGATTAATTACCAAACTTTATGTCCCTTTCAAGGAGGTCTTTTAGTGATATTTTTGCACGCATTTCTCTGTGGTGAAAATGATAGGAACTAAGGGTGTGTTTTGCACGAAGAAAAACATTTTCTGGAAGAGGAAAATATTTTCCCTATCAAAAGAAGGGAAAACATTTTTCAAGACTCTTTTTCAATCTTCCCCACCTTATTCTCCATCCCTATCAACCCCAACCGACCCATCCCCCACACATCTACCCCCCCCCCTACCCTTGACCCCCCACGACCCATCTCTAATAGAAATCTATATCTATTTCTATATCTATATCTATACTACGTTAAAAGCACAAAGCACCTATTGAAATGTCGTTCGCTCTTTTTTACCCTCTAAAAATTAATTTCACGCTAGATAAAATAGTCATTTAATTATTTCTCTAATTTCTTTGACTTTTAAATTAATTAAAATTTTACTTATTATATCTTTTCTTATTTGAACTATATAAAAGTCTTAATATTTGGACTTTAACTGAATGTGACATACTAATTAAATCAAAAACCAACGTTACCATCCAAAGCAAAGCTACACTCAGGGGCGTACGCAGGACTTTTTGTAAGCGGTGTCGAAATTTAAAGTGGTGAACAAATTACTACAATAAATATGGGAGATAAGAAATTGAGAAGAGCAATACCACCACCCTGTCACTTAGAAATTACAAGTTATGAAGGATGAGAACTTTTTCGTAGTTAGGTTTAAAATTCGTTTATCTTATTGTAAAATAATTACTTTTTAGAAATTAAATAGTATTTTATTATCACTTATGGTGTCACGAAAGAGGACGCAGTTCTATTTTTTAAACAAAAGAGGCTTAAAAGAAAAAAATGCAAAAAAATGCATACGAAATATTCGAACCACAGACCTCGACATTGCAAGAGAGGAGCTTGGCCATCAGACCAGACGCTATGTTTTGTTCAGGAGTGTCATGTAATTTGTATCTATATCTTTTGCCCAATGTTTATGCGTGTAATAATTAAAGTTTTCCGGTGAAGCGGTGTCGGACGACACTACTTGGAGTAGGGTGCATCCGCCCCTGGGCCTACACTACCGTCGTTAAATATCCTTCGAAAATTCTAAAAAGTAAAACAAAAGCAAGAAAAAAAAATTGAATTTAATATTGCCAATATCTAAAACTTTTAAATGAAATAATATTTAGGATTTTAAATTCATAATTTACCACTTTTACTTTTTTGAGATTTCTTAACCTCTTAATTAATTAAAGATGAATTTTATTTCCAGCTAAAATATAAATGGTTCAAAATAACAAGTAATATAACACTGAATTTGCATTGGAATAGAATATCTTAAACTTTGAGTTGTCACCAAATTCAAATATGACAAACCTTCATCGAAAGATAAAAGTAATTTGTAAAATTAAGATATATACATTATGTTTTTATTATTTCCTTTTTATTAATTCAAGGATTTTGAAAAATAATTTCATCAGTTAAAAATCGGAAAAGGGTCTGATATATCCTTGTACTATGGTAAATTATTTAAAATTGTCCCCCGTTATACTATTGGGCCATAAAAGTCCCTACCGTCCAACTATCCAAACAAATCTGCCCTTAGGTTGACGGAGTTGCCACGTGGCATCAATCCTTGCCTCTTTTTAAATTTGGGCACATAAGAGACGACCCGCTCCATAAAACCCACCAACCCATAACCCATTTATAAACCAAAGAGATTTTTTTGTATTGCATATTGGTTTAGCAAAAAATTCAAAAACATGTATACGTATCTCCTGAATAGAGATTACTATTTGATTAATAGATGTTACTCTTGTTCTCCAAAATAAATTTCAAAAACTTTAAAAAAAAAATTCAAATGTCGGAGAAGCGGAAGAACAACCGATTTAGTGAAGAATCCCAATAAAACGAAAACCAAAATAGAAAAACAAATTTAAGGTCTAAAAACGGAACAAAAAACAGAGAAATGAAATAGGAACGGCCGAAAAATATTAAAAAATAATTTTTGAACCTTCAGATTGTAGAATCATCACAAGGTCGAGAGGAGAAGCCATTGAAGGTCGAATAGCATCGATATATATATATATATATATATATATATATATATCTAGTGTTTTTATTGCTTTTGATGTTTCATTTGAAAAATCAGGGAGAGGCATCTGCCACACAAGTGAATATGCTGCTCTACTGCCTTCTGTTTTGTTTTAACAAAAGAAATAAGTACCAAGCCAACAAATTCATTAAAAAAAAACTAGCAGAGAGCAATACATGTGGCTTGCACATTTGTTGATGTGGGGAAAGAGTTCAAACTTAATCCGAAAATGAAATGGACAAAGCTGGAGAGTATTTTCATGTTCTAGATAGTTAGTGAGAGAAGAAAATGAAACGGGAAAATGAAATGGACGAAATGGGTATTATTTGGTTTATAAATGGGTTATGGGTTGGTGGGTTTCATGGAGCGGATCGTCTCTTATGTGCCCAGATTTAAAAAGAGGCAAGGATGGATGCCACGTGGCACATCCGTCAAACTAATGGCAGATTTGTTAGGATAGTTGGACGGTAGGGACTTTTATGGCCCAATAGTATAACGGGGGACAATTTTAAACAATTTACGATAGTACAAGGATATATCAGACCCTTTTCCTGTTAAAAATTACTGAATGTTTATAATAAAACAATAATAAGCTTTAAAAGTGTTGAAGTTATGACAAGGTATTAAATACTTTTGCTTGACATAGTTTTTTCTCTATTAAGTTAGCTAAATAAAATCAATATCCCTAATTTTCAAGAGTTTATACTTTTTAAAATTTATTATATAACTCAATTACATAGCTTAATAGTATTTATATGGTTTTTAAAATTTTAAAATAAATAGTTCAAAATATCGTAGTAGTATTTGTTAAAAGTATTTCTTCTCATGTTGTGGATAGAGTATTTTTTTTTTTATTTTAACAAAATGCGTATTTTCTTTTCATAATGTAGAAAAAGTATTTTCTTTCATTTCAACAAAAAAAAGTACTTTTTCAAAAAGTATTTTCTTTCACTTTAACAAAAAAGTACTTTCTTTTTATGATGTAGAAAAAATATTTCTTTCATTTCAACAAAATGAGTACTTTCTTTATATGTTGTAGAAAGAGTGTTTTTATTTTGCTTCAACAAGAAAAAAAAGA